TCTAGAGATAAACCTGCTGAGAGCAGCCACGCAACCGGCAAGCCTTCGTACATCCTTGACGCGCTTTGGTGCATCGATCTGCTCAATGGCTTTGATCTTGTCGGGATTGGCTTCAGTTCCCCGCTAAGACATGAAGAACCCGAGAAGCTTGCTGGAAGGGACTCCAAACACGCACTTCTCGGGGTTAAGCTTGAGGTTGATCTTGCGCAGGTTTGCAAATGTTTTGTCTAAATCTTGAATCAAGGTCGCTTTGTTCTTGCTCTTGACCACTATGTCATCCATGTAAGCTTCCACATTTCTGTGTATTTGTGGCTCAAAAGCATGGTGGACTACCCTTGCGAATGTTGAACCAGCATTCTTCAAACCGAAAGGCATCCGTACGAAGCAGTACGTGCCACACGGGGTGATAAATGCGGTTTTCTCTTCATCTTCTTCTGCCATGAAGATCTGATGGTATCCTGAGTATGCATCAAGAAATGAAAGCAAATCACATCCGGCTGTGGAGTCAACAATCTGGTCAATACGCGGCAAGGGAAATGGGTCTTTGGGACAAGCTTTATTAACATTAGTGAAGTCAATACAAAGTCTCCATTTCCCATTAGCTTTGCGCACAACAACAGGATTGGCCAACCACGTGGGATGGAGTACTCCTCTGACAAGGCCTGCTGCTTCCAACTTCTTGATTTCTTCTGCGATGAATTCTTGGCGCTCTACTGCCTGCTTCCTGACTCTCTACTTGACGGGCCGCGCATGAGGACAGACGGCAAGGTGGTGCTCAATCACTTTCCTGGGAACACCGGGGATATCAGATGGTTGCCACGCAAACACGTCGACATTCGCCCGCAGGAAAGCAACGAGCGCGCTTTCCTATTTGGGGTCAAGAGTGGCGCTGATGGTGAAGGTACCACCAGTGCCATCCTCCTTGGCAGACACCTTCTTAGTCTCAGGTGGAGCTGCCATTGCCTTCTTACACTTGCCGGTGGAGCTCGATGGTGCATCCTCGACGGTAGCGCAGCACTCCGAAGAAGTGCGCTTGCCAGAGTGGGCATCAGAGCTCTTTCCGGTCTTGGTCCTCTTCTTCCCCCCGGGAGCTTCAGCGGCAAGTTTCCTTTGTTCTGCTGCGGCTGCGGCTTCCCGGTAGATCTTGTCGGCACAGATAAGAGCATCCTTCTTGTCGCCAGGGACAGAGATGACACTTATTGGGCCTGGCATTTTCAGTACGTTGTACGCATAGTGAGAGGCTGCCATGAACTTGGCGAGTGCCAGACGGCCAAGAATCCCATTGTAAGGTAATGGAAATTCGGCAACATCAAATGTGTCCCTCTCGATCCTGAAGTTCAGCTCACTGCCAAATGTTACTGGCAACGTGATCTTTCCCTTTGGCTTGCTCCTTCCCGGGTTGATTCCTTGAAATGTGCCGGTTTCTTCGAGCTCGCTGTCAGGGATCTGGAGCTTCTGGAGCACCGCGGAGGAGATCAGGTTCAAGCCGGCCCCGCCATCAACTAGCATCTTAGTGACCTTGAGGTTGCAGATTGTTGGTGAAACCAACATTGGCAAGCACCCGACCGCAGTTATGCGATCCGGGTGGTCCTCAATATCAAAGATGATAGGCGTGCCGGACCATTTCAGAGGCTTGCGTGACTCGACGGGTGGTTCTGCTGCATTAACTTCCCGCACCCACTGCTTGAGCTGGCGGTGCGAGCCATGCAGAGAAGCACCACCGTCAACGCACAGGACCTCTGTGGCTTTCTGGAACTCCTTCTCATCAGTCTCCTCATCATCCATATCTGCATCGTCGCCGTCATCTTCATCCTTGTCGCGGCCGCGAGGAGGTCTGTCTCCTTGCCGCTGCTTGGCCTTGCCGCGGCGTCCTCCTCGGCCGGGACGTTTCTTGGCGGATCCACCAGCTCCTTCCTGGGCCTTCTCCTTGTCGCGCCGCTCGTATTCAGCTTTCTGTTGCTCAACAAGCTGTTCGACTTTCTTACAGTTCTGGAGATCATGGCCCTTGGTGCGATGGATCTTGCAATATTACTTGTTGGGGCCGTCCTGCTTGTCGGCGACTGCTGCCTCCGCGGCAACTTCCTTACCGGAGTCACCAGCTTTGGCTTCCTTGGGGCCGCCACCGTTGCCGGACTGCTCAACAACTAGCACTTCTTTGCCTTTCCTCCTTCTGTTGTTCCGCCGCCGGTTTTTCCTTGTCGGGGCAGCATCTTCACTGTCAGATCCTCCCACTCCTATATTTTCTCCGGGGAGTCTCCTCCCTTCCTCAGCACGCGCACACTTGTCGGCCAGTGCATATAACTCACTGACGTCCCTGATCTTGCACATTGCCATTTCCTCCCGCATCATGCGGTTCCGCACGTTCTGATGGAACGCGCTGATCACCGCGGCAGGGTGGACGTCTGGGATGTTGTGCTGCACGCTACTGAATCTCTGAATGTACTTGCGCAGGGGCTCTCCTTCCTTCTGGGCGAGCAGATGAAGATCACTCTCCTGGCCATGAGGCTTGTGTCCGCCGGTAAAGGCGCCGACAAACTGATGGCACAGATCAGCCCAAGAGGATATGGAGTTGTCCGGCAAGTGCATGAGCAAGGATCTGACGTTGGGCTTGAGCACCAGCGGGAAGTAGTTGGCAAGGATCTTGTCATCTCGTCCCCCGGCAGCTTGCACCGCAATGGTGTAGATGCTGAGGAACTCTGACGGATGCGTCTTGCCGTCGTACTTCTCGGTACGTCTGGCTTGAAGTTCTTTGTACTGGGCCACTTGACTTGCCGCAACTCACGAGTGAACGCAGGACAACCTACCGCGTACGGCAGATCGCCTGGTTCCCCTGGCGCATGCATGTCAACAGAGGGCCCAGTGCGCTTGTCGGATTTACGTCGCGCTTCCCTTCGGTGCTGGATGCGGGTTCGAGCGTCTTCTTGTTGCCGATCATGAAGAACTTGGCGCTGATCGCGACGAGCTCATGGATCCGACGATGCAGTGGAGTCGCTGTCGAGGTGGATCCGGCGAGTCGGCGATCTTGGCCTTCGGGGCGGTGATTGCATGGTAGTTGCACCTCCGCCCGTTTCGTCGCCACCGGCTCGCGTCCGGCGGTCCTGCCGCGGCGGCGACACGCTTGGCCGCCATGGAGTGTCACCGTTGGCGTAGCCGATGAGACTCTGAATGGTGGCCCTCCATTCGTCGATCTTGTCCGACGTCGGAGGGTAATCTAGGAGAAGTTGAGCTCGTGCCAAAGCTTCTGCTGGAGTGGTGGGTAGCAGTGGCGGACGGCGCGAGGAGCGGGACGTGCTCGAACTTCTAACTATGTTAGAAGGAGCAGTATGCCATCCAGGCGACCGTGCCCCGCTCGTGCCGGCACGCTGGCGTGCATGCTGGTCTTGAGCGCCCCGAGATCCACCAACTTGGTCTTGGGCTATCATGCGTATGGCACTGCTAGTGCCACGACACTGTTGATCTTGCGCCTCCTGAGAGTGGCGTGGAACATGTACAGTTGCCGAGGTTTGTGCAGCCTTGTTCTTGGACCTGGTGGCATCATGGGCTTCCTCGTCGACGTCCTTTCTTCCGCCAGCGTCCATCCCACCACTCGTTTTCTCCAACGGTGGTGGAAGTGACGTGGATGGAGCGGCCGCCGCCGAAGTCTTCTTCTTCGGTGGCATGTTGAGGAAGGGAATAAAGATCTAGCTCGTGTGAACGCCGGATCTGGTTCACACAATCTCAACACCCCCTACCTGGCGCGCCAAAGATGTCGGGGAAACTGATCCACGAACACCTATGGGGCCAGCGGACCGGGCCCCTTTTGGTTCGGCGGGGGGCGGAGGTTGCACGAAGAGCAGATCGAGGCGAAGCACACGAGCAGTTTACCCAGCTTCGGAGCTCTCCGAAGAGATAACACTCCTACTGCTGCTTGTCTGGTTGTATTATCTGGTGTTCTTGCTCTCGAGCGAGAGGGTGTGGTGTTTTCTGGGCTACGAATGAATCGAAGCCGACTGTCCCAGGCTCCGAACCCCCTCTACGTTGCGGATGGGCCTCCTTTTATACGCTAAAGGGGTCACCGACAGGTGGCAACGCATAGGAGGGTAAAAACGTAAAAAGCGAGGTAGTTGATACAGTTGCTTGTACAGTACACCCTACCTAACCCTGACGGCAGGGGACAAGGGCATTAAATGCCCGTCTGAGTCGCCCGAACAGTGCAGAAAAGGACCGTTAGGGGCGCCACCGTTCGCCACGATGGCGATCTTGTCAGCTCCGCATGCCACTGCGCACCGTTGGCTGCACAGCCTCCCGCCACGCGCGCCCGGAGAGGCCCCCAGAGCGACACGTTGGTGGATGTGCTGGAGCGTGGGCGCAGAGTGGCCGCCTGCCATGGCAAGCGCCTTGCCGCTGTTGTTATCTCGTCGGGTCCAGAAGCTCGTCGCTCACCGGGCCTCGGGGTACCTTATTTAGTCTTCCCGGCAAGCTCCTCTTGCCGGGGCCTTGTTGCCTTGCCGGAGCGCGTGGTGCGTCGTGGCAAGTTCCTTGGAGCGCCTTGGTTGGCCTTCCCGGCAAGCTCCTCTTGCCGGGGTCTTGTCTCCTTAGCTTAAATACTTTGTTCTTGGATGGCTCCAAGGGAACCTTGGGGGATCTTGGCGATCGCCCGACAAGCCTTTGCCGCGGGGTGCTGCAACTGCCCGTGCACAAGTTCGGGGTACTAGGGTACCCCTATTCTAGTACACCGACACGAAAGCAAACTACAAATATGAAACAACAAGACTAAGGACATGCAGAAGCGCAAGCAACACGAAGGCAGACTTTCATGCCACTTCATCCCGTGAAGTAGCAATGGTAGTAGCGGCCATCCTCCTGCTCTTTTGAAATATCCCAACCTGTCAGGATGTTGTCGATTATCTTCCATGACTTGTATGTGGCGTACGCATCTTTTCCTGCGTACATGATGAGCTTGTTTGACAGCGGGCTGATTCCCCACAGTTTGTGGTCTTCCTCCTTCTCGATGTTCTTCTTCATGCCTTTGTAGAATGGGTGGATGACACTGGCTGCAACATCGATAAGGAGTTGTAGAATTTGTTTGTGATTGGAACTTTCCACTTGTGCTGCATGTCAATGAAGTTGTTGGGGTTAATCTCCAAACCAAACTTATTCAGCATCTTCTTATCATCTTCAATGCTGAAACTGGCAAATGTGTACAATTTCTCCTCCTGCGGGAATTGTTTGAGGCGCTTGGGCCTGCAAGGGCGGAGACACATATTAAAGATTACTATTTTTTTTGAAGATTTAATTCTCCTGCTTTTTGGTTTACAAGTGATAATCCATGAGGTAGATGCTTATATAGTACAAGTCATGGATGAATGTAGTTCACATACTAGTACACAAAGTCATGAAATTAAATTCAACTACACCATGTTATTTTTCTTTTTTGGTATCTTCAGTGCTTCACCAAATGCTTCACAAAGTTCAAGAACCTATTTACCAGAGTCAATGATATATGTGTTGCTTACTTCAAGTTTAGTTTTCTTTTTGTTTAATAAAAGACCTATACTAGTGCTTGATACATCTTTGTCCATCAATTCTATATCAAGTTCAGAAATTAATTTGAGAAACATGTGCATCAAGATATGAACCTATATCACTTCACCAAACATCTTTTAATACATCAATTCTATAAACTATACTAATGTATCAAGATCAGAATCTATGCTAGTACATCAAGTTCAGAAACTAATTTGGTGAAACATTTTTCAGATGCTAATCCAGTGCATCAATTTTTGATGCTAATCTGGTGAAACAATCCACTTCAAAATTTCAGAAATGCATGTAAGTTGATAAACATGTACTCATGCATCCACTTCACAAACTATAGTAGTTCATCTAGTTGGGAAACGAGTTTCCTTAAAATTTTAGGGAGTAGTACGGGCACAATAGATGAATGAACAGTAGTATGGGTTACGATTTTGTGGCCGCTGCGATGTGGTACACCAAGCAGAGTTCCTCAACGCACAACTGCAGGACTGCTGCCATCTGGGGAGGTTCATCTTTGCTGGTGTACTCCACATCAACTCTAATGAAGCTCGGATACAAGCCGCCGCCCTTCATCCTGAGCAGGTTCATCATCGCGTCGGCCTTGTCTAGTTCGCTGGTGCAGACGATCTCCAGCGTCTCCTTTCCGTGGAGCTCAACCCCTTTGAGCGTTCTGGTGTACGTGCACTTCTCGCCGGGGACGTGAATATTGTTGAGGTTGCTGCTCTTCTCGGACGTCTCGCCATGATGACGCTTGGCAGACGTTTCCTCCGCCATCGCCCTCCTTCGGCGACTATGGGCTTGGGAGAGAGAAGTTTGTGGTTTGTCTACAGTGGAGATGGAAGCGGCAATAGCGGTTCTGGGAATGAGGCAGAGATGGAAGACAATGGGTTATTTTTCCAGCGCATTGACGGGGATGTGTGGGAGGCGGTTCCTCGGGGATGTGGGTGTTGTGGTCGTGGGGGTCGCTGTTTGCACTCCCTTGTGGCAACCGCCCAGTGGGTGGCACGGGTGGTGGCCTAGAAGAACAAACCGTCCAAGTCAATGGTTTTTACTGTCGAACTAAGTAGTCTTGTCAAGTTGTACTTATCATCTACTTATCCCACTTGCACATCTCAGGGGTGGCGATGATGGAATTTTGCACTGTTTAAGTGACGTATGCTTTTATGATGTTTTTCCGTGTGGAGGTTATGTCTTGTTTTTTCACTGAAGTCTTATACACTAGTTGATCTCAAAACATTTTTCAGTGCCCTCGGAGTTGTTGCTCAAAACTGGGACTTATTTTATTTTCATCTGTCCGAACCTAAGTTAGGCCTTTTATAGTTTTTGTATTCCCTTTTTAGTGCACTTATGGTTTAGTGCTGTGTGAACTAAATTGTAATTTCATACATCGTACGGTTTTGAAATTTGGTGTCACAGTGGTGTGAGTGGCCTGACTGTTCCTACTTTTTT